TTTAGTAATTCGAAGTAGATGTTCTTGTGATGATGACTTCCAGATTTTGGAAAATAATAGTTATTGAATTGGTTTTTATAAATGAGTTTAAGTCTTCCGCATTACTTTATGTTGATAGTACATTGAAATGTTAAGGTTTAGATTTGGTTGGTTCGCTCACACAGGAGGGTAAATGTGAATGCCAGTCGTGGCCTGATTTGGGTCGCCCAATTAATATAGTGATGGAAGAGAATAATGTGTACATATTTATGCGGTAGAGATCTACTTCTTTTTGATATATAGAATTTTGATTCAAGTAAAAAAAATAAAATGATATATAAAATATTGATAATGATATGTTGAAAAGTAAACCAATAGTAAGAATAATAAATAATATAACGAACCATTAATAAATAAAATTCTAATTTAGTTTTCAAATTCTTCAAAATATAATATTTAAATAATTCATCATTTTAAAATTCTTATAACAATAATTCATGATCAACATGATACATTAGTCCTTAGTCCCTATCATTTCGAAAAATTATATTAAATGATAGTTAATTATTATCACTGTTGACCTTTTTGACTAGTACATTTTTTTATTATAAATTATGTGAATTTGAAAGCTTGTGATGGAATATAATGGAAAATTTATTTTCAAAAAGAGCATGAATGTATGATTCATCAAATATGACGCGTTAGGATAATCAAATGTTTTGTTTATGTATTATGATTTTATTTTATATGATTGTAATTTGTATAGAGAGTATATATGTTCTGGTTTTTGGACGACAATGATATTAATGTCCCAAAAATATGACGAAGAATATCTGCTTACCATTTACGATAGTTTAAGGATATGTTTATATCCTTTTTTCCGATTTTGAATCATGTCCAAATTGATGCAACGTATAACCAAAATTAATAGTACTGTTATAGGTAAAAAAATAAATAATAAATTGAAGCCAAGGTTGTTTATATTAATACACCAACATAATTTCTAATAATTGATGTTAGTACAGGCCCAACATACAGCTGAACCTAATTAATATTAATGTTACAGGTAATTCAAAGTCAATTATTAATAGTATTAGTACATCAATTCACTTTTAGTACAACAATCTAAAGCATCAGTGTAATTCGTAAAACGATAAAATTAGATCATAAAATTATAAATAAATTAAGTTCTTTAAATTTAAATATATCGTCGAGTTATTCATTTATTAATTTAATTTAGGGAAAAAGGGTCTAATATACCCCTCAACTTTGTCATTTGGAGCTGATATATCCCTCGTTATAAAAGTGGCTCATATATGCCCTTACCGTTATACAAACGGCTCACATATACCCCTGCTGTTACGAAATGGCTCACATATACCCTTCATTTAACGAAAGTTAAAAAAATAGTTTTA